GGCGATCGGGTCCACCTGTGACCAGGTCCTCCTGCAAGCAGGTTCACCAGGTCCACCTGTAACCAGGTCCACCTATAACTGGGTCCACCTGTAATTGGGTCCACCTGTGACCAGGCCCTCCTGCAAGCAGGTTCACCAGGTCCACTTGTAACCGGGTCCACCTGTAACTGGGTCCACCTGTAACTGGGTCCACCTGTAACCGGGTCCACCTATAACTGGGTCCACCTGTAACTGGGTCCCCCTGTGACCAGGTCCACCTGCTGTCAGCTGGACTGAATCAGAGCATGAGAACCTTAAAGACTCTCCTGGTGGACTGGATTCTGTAGCCAGAGGTTTCAAGTTCAACAACCTCCAGTGAGATCAGAAGGTAAAGGCCTGGCCTTCATTGACTGCATATCGCCTGCTCACGTGAAATGGATCAATCTGGCGTGATCAGACTGTGAGTTGGGGATGACTCTCAGCTACTACCACACCAGATTCTAGCCCAATGACGATAAAACAAATGGTGCTTTAGAAATATTTGGCAGCCATCTTGAATCAGGTTGTCTCCTACAGCTGTAGATGCAGCTCCAGTCATTTATTTTTCCGTTTAGTTCAAATCCGATCTGATTTATGAGACTTTTGGCTGCTAGAAGAGAAACAAGGTAAAAACATTATCACTCTGCCTTTGTCTTCGGCGGCGGGTGATGGTAAACGGGTTTACAACGATAAAGGAGCAGAGGTCTCAGACTGCAGCTTAATTTAATGAACAAGCAAAACTGGAAAGTAAAAAAAAAAGAACATTTCAGATTAAACTGTTTTATAACTGGACTCTGCTGCGACCCGGCTGTGTGGAGTTTACATGTTCCCCCAGTTGATACGATGGTTTCCTCCCACAGACCAAGAACCTATGTTAACTGTCACTAGATGTACGGTATGTACATATGTACATACCAAACGACCATATGGTGGTTTGTCTCGGTGTCCCTACCTGTCCAGGTGTACCCCTCCTTTCACACAGTGAACGCTGGATGGATCAAATCTAATTCTGGGCTATGCTAACACTTGGCTCTGCACTGTATTTTGGCGTTCTTGTGATTCTTTTGGTCGGTCGTTGCCGTCGCTCGTTTTCTCCGGAGGTGTACTCCGGTCTTCTTGGCAGTTCGTCTTGTTGGAATATGTACGGTGCTGTAAGAGAGCCCCTAATGTCCATGTTGTGTTCTGTCTTTACCACCGAGTCCATTCACATGATGTGTACAATAAAACTGTTCTGGATCATCGGTTGGGCTCGGGTTTCTCAAAACTCGAGCCCAACCTGGTCAAAAAAAATTCTAGAGTTGCGCCGCTCGGGGTGGCAGCATGTTGGAGCAGCTCTGCTACATTCATTTTGAAAACTTGAATTCCTCTTTTTCTGGATGTAAATGACTTTTTTCGGATGATTATTTCCTCTGGTATCAGATGCTGTGCAGCTGGAAGGATTTTTACTGAAACCTTTTTACTTTAGGGCGTTTGTTATGACGTGTAACCATGGCAACAAGGTGTTGGAGCAGTGGATTAACATCTCAAGTCTCAAATACCTCAACTGCAGCCCAAAATCCCAAAGAGTTGAAAAGGAGGCACTGTAGATGAATTCCCATCAACCTGGCGGCGGTACTCAAGCACCTGTGACTGCTGAGATCCTGGAGCTGGTGGAAAACTCAACTCGTGAGAACGGGAGGACCGGGATCATCTCCCGGCACCTTCTGCTGTCTGTCCGTGGCAACGAGGAGCTCGGCAGACTGCTGGGAGGAGTGACCATCGCTCAGGGAGGAATTCTGCCCGGCATTCAGGCGCAGGACCGAGAGGCCCGCCGGATCTGACAGAAAGCTGGATCTGGGTGGACGGATCGGTATCTGTGGCCAGATTCTTTGAACTTGCTGCAGGAGCTCCTTCCTTCCCACAACTATCAGCATCTATAACGACTCTTCAATGAAACCAGGATGAGCTACAACAATACTTAATTTCCCTTTGGGATTAAGTGATGTTGAATTGAATTTAAGATCTGAGGAACGATTATCTCGGTCCAGCCTGATTTAACCTCCTTTTGTTTTCATTTGAAGATATCTGGGATCAGTTTTTCCATAAAACTCCATCTCTGGTCTTTCTGCACTGTCCACCAGTCCATCCAAAACCAAACGGAGAGAAACTGATGACAGAGATGAACTCTGAGCTTTCATGCTGCTGTTTGTCGTCACCGCTGCAGCTTTTCTTGATCCTTTAATGAGTGTTTGTTTTGCCGTCATTCTGATCTTGAGTCTGATCCCTGACGTAAAACAGGATCCAGTTTTGTGTCGGAACAGATCGGGCCTGTTCGGGTCGGTGCTGTGGGCACATTTAGTCAAAATTCACGCCGTCTCTCTTTAGAGAAAAGCCAGTAAATTGCAAGAAGCTGTCATCGGTCAGCAGCCAACATCTAAACCCAGTTTATATCCGCTTGATTATAGTTCCCATGAAATGCCTTCAGATTGGGTTAATACATATTTTACACACATATGTCCTTTAAAGATACACTTTATTTTAAATTATCGGGTGTTTTGATAAATCGTTACCTGGCATTTAAACAAATGTGTTTCCGGTGTTTTACCTGATGTGTTTCCGGTTGTTTTACTGGATGTTTTTCTAGGAGTTTTTACCAGATGTTTCCAGTTTTACCGGATGTGTTTCCAAGAGTTTT